GAGATAAAACTAGCAATTTTACAGACGTATAATTTGCGCAGTTAAAAAAGTCAAAATAACAAAGTTGATGTGCATTTAACGATAATGATATACATATATATATATTGATGAGTGCGGGCTATTAACATTCAGACGCCATGACAAACGGTTTCCATTGATGGCGTTGACTAAAGCGATAAATTAGTCCTATTACCTGGATTTAGCGTAAATTCACCGATATCGTCCGCGTTGTTGTATATTAATTATTAAATTACAGCTAAAATATCTCCGCGATTTCATCGCTTATGCCAATTTAAGTGTGAATCGATGCACCGTCCGCGCCGTACTGCGGTAAAAATCCATTTACACTTACAGCCAATCCGATAATGCCGTAAATAATCAAATTGTAAATTTGAATAGCGCAATTACTCGCGAAATCGTGTCGATCTCGCGGGGACGGTCGGGAACGGATTGCATATTCATCATTCGCGGACGCGCCATTTCAGACGAGACACTTCGCCGACACGACCAACGATCCTGGAGACGCGCTATACGCGGGAAAAATTAGCATGTAGAAGGCAGTAGTAAAAATAATAATTGACGAGATTATTCGACCTCCTCGTGAGACACTCGGAACGAAATGAAACGTTTTATCGCCGTGTGCCGTGTCTGAGGGGAACGAAGCGCGCGGGGACTTGTGTGTGCTCATTCCTCTCTTTCCCGTACAGCAGTGGGGACAGAAAGAGAGAGAGAGAAAGAAAGAGTGATCGTAATCATATTTTCAGAGGGACGGATTTATGCAACGCACCCGCGTCGTCTCTCTCTCTGTACATAAAACGCATTTAAAATTCTCGAGGCGCGACCGGAAGGTGCCTGCTCCCGTCTCTCGATAGCGCCGCGAGTCGTGCCGCGCCGTGCCTCGCCTCGTCTCGCCGCGCCGCGCCGGTGGTAGCGCCGCGGGGGTTGTAATTGGCAATATCTATCGAATTTTACAATAAATCTCACCGTGCCCCGAAGGAGGGCGGCGTGGGGGTGGGCCGCCGCGGCAATAAAACACCGGGTAGTATCGCGAGGGGGCTGCCGCGCGCCGTGCACTTAACGACTTATCTTATCTGCGAATTAGGTCGCGGTTAGTGCGCCGCTTAATGCGAAGCTACGAATACCAGGAGGCACGCGGCTGCGATCGTAACCACGTGATTTATAGTTGGAAGTGTTATTAGATTGGTGTGAAAGTAGTCCCGTCGTATATTTTTTGGATAAAATCATTTATTAATCAAATCTAAAAAAAAGGTTATCCCAAATACGTTATAGTCTTTTTTTCGCATCTGTCTTTTCTTCACACCTTGTCACATCTTAAATGCTCTGGTTATTTCGTGACCGACGTCAGCGATATTAATCTTTGTTGTTGCGACGGTGATTATTTAATATACTTATTTTCGAAACATTTAATAGCGATGCTACGCGTTTGTGTGAAATGGTACAACGCGACGCGCGTTATCAGACAGGTTGACAAATTTTGAAGTGCGGCACATGTGCATGTTTGGACTCGTTGGGAGAACAGGCGTTTACTTTAATTTACGCTTATAAATGATGAGGTCAGTCGGATGCATCGGAGTAATTACGTCAAACCTTATATAATTCCTGTTGCGACGCAAGATCGAAGATTCACGAGATGATGGATCACAATTTCCTACTCATTCCTCATATCGTTATGAATTAATTCTCAGCTTTCCCACATGTTTATGCGTGCATCGTCGACTCGCGAGACTCATTTTCCATAGCTCCGGTAAAAAATTACATTTTAGCGACGTGCACGTGTGTGCGTGTGTGCGGGCAATTGTTCCCGCAAAGAAGACGAGCCTGTTATATTCACTACTGTATTGGCATCATCCAATTTTACGGTAACGATTATATATAAATATAAAAGGCATTAACTGCAACTGATCTCGCGCCTGCGGAGACGGTAACAGAGAAGTTAATTAAAATCGCCGTCAATTCTGCCTTACCGCGCGTCGTCGCTCGTCGCACGTGACGCGATTTGACAATGAGCACGTCGAGAGTGGGAACGCGTGTTGGATCTTCGGGCTCGTTCGCGCTGCATGCGAACGGTAAAAGATCCGTTTGTTTATTTCCACGTGTGGCACAATACTTAACATACAACATTTCTATGATGCCCGGCGCGCCGCGGGGATGGATGACGAGCACGACGACAAGCGGGGCGGACGGTGGTGTGCGTCGCGTGTTTTGTTTGCGCGTTTTCTTTTGTCGCGTGTATGTCCAGCTGCGCGCCGAGAACGCGGCCGGCTCATGCAAATGCACGGGCACACAATGTGCCTCAATAGCCTCCACGTATTTATGCTATATGCTATCCGGTTCAGTATTTTCCACACCGCGACTGTTTATTTCTGTGCCTCGTACACGGAGAATACGCGGTGGCTGTTTCTCTCTCTCTCTCTCTCTCTCTCTCTCTCTTTCTCTTTTTAGAGGAAGGGCGGGAAAAAGAAGGGCCGAAGGAAGAGGGAGAGAAAGAGAAAGACAGAGCCGCGAGCTGGCAAGCAAGTTTTCCATCGATCGGCGCGCGACGATCGTTACGTATTACCTCCGCCACACCGTATGCGCGTCGCGCGTGGAAACAAACGGAGTTACATTTTGTAATTACACCCCTCGGGTCGATGCCGACTTCGCGTTAGTAATCGATCACGCGTTCTTGCGACTCGTTTCAAAATTTACGACTTCAAAGTCCGCGAAACGTTTGCGCATTATTTAACGCGATTCAAGATTTGTTCCCCTATGTTCTTAGAGATTTCGTATAACCACTGCTCCGCTTTTTCAATGAGCTTAACAATGAAGAGATATTATCGCAGATATTGTTTGAAATTTATTTACGCAAGCTTGTAGAAACGCAAGGAGACACGATACGTATATATCATTTCTTTTATTTTCTTTCATCGCCCGTGCTTGAATTCACGCAATGATATTGAACGCATTTCTGCGAACGGAGGGGAAACCTGGCTAACTATACACCGTGCCAAAATAATTTCGGTCATATTCCACGTTCGTTGATTCGTGCAATAAATCATTTACAGTTGCATCATTACGATTCTGACTAACTCTCGGACTTCAGATATAGTCGATCGTTATAAGTCAAATGTGGATTCTCTTGTGCTAAATAATATATTAAATATAAATTGTTTATTTATCATTAAATAATTTATCGACAATAACGCTTTTAGAATATGAACTTTTGCTCTAAATAAGATTTTCTTGACATACATTTATAATAAACATTAATAACATATAAGAAAAATTATAGTTACAATATTAAAAATCTGTTCACGCCATCGCTCGAAAAAAAGAGTCGAAAACGACCAAAGCGTGCCGTGTATATATTTTAATAAAGCTCGCAACACGCGATGTCTCGTTTTTTACGGCGAAAAACGCGATTTAAAATAACGGCAATGTAAATAAAACTTTACATCACGAAATACGGAACATAAAATATATCAGCAGTATCAATAGCACATAAAATACTCCATTGTGTGACGTTTAGTAAAATATCATATTTAAATTATACGTTCGCTCTCGTGTGTCCTTGCGCTGTGGATCTTTGAGGTCTTTTTTAAATCGGCGAAGCGCTCTTTATTTCCCGCCCGCCCGGGAATGCGCAACGGCCGAAATGCCGTTGTGTCACCTCACGAGGAAAATGAATATTAATATAAGTGCGTCGGCCGGCCGCGCGATTTCCTCGGCGAAGCAACGAATAATAGCCGGTCCGCGGGAGAGATGCGTCTGCGACCGAGAGGGCGAGGCGCACCCGAAGACGAAGTGTTCTCATTATATTCGGTGATTTATGTGCGTGCCACCTTGCCGTCGGAAGAGATTCTAGGTTAGAAATAAAGTTAAAAGAAAAATAAGGCTTACGGGGTGCAAAGTCGAGAAAGTGTGGATGGGGGGGACGCCGCGGCCCGCGGAATATATTACAAAAATAAGCTCGCCGAGCGGCGGGAGACGCGCCGTGCGGAAAAGCGCCGAAAAAACTTTGAAACTCCGAGGAGCCTCGAAAGATCGATGCCCCTCGACCTGCCCTGCCGTGTAACTTTTCTTGTTTATCGAGAGGCGCGGGAATAAAAATTCGGCGAGCGGGAGGGAGGGAATGGTCACGATTCGCGCAACCATGCAAATAACTTCGCGTATTTTTCGTGAACAATTTTTGCAGCTCATTGCCAACGAAATCTTTTAAGGGAACAGTAGAGAAAGGAACAACTTTGAATTGAGTTGTACCTCTAAAGCAGATCAAACGTAGCTATAATTAATTAGCATTTCTTGTTAGTAACGTGTCAGCTATTTTTTGTTACGTTCATTTGCAGTTCTTTTAATGTTAATATAACTGTATCAGATTCTTATCAGAGAAAAAGAAACCAAAGAGAAGGAGAGAAAGAAAGACGTTTAGCAGTTTAACCATGTTAATTTTGTTCATTTATTCTCTTCATATTTATTTATTCGCATTACGATTCTGTATATTTCTGCCTCACAACACAATATTTTATGTAAAAATTTTTCTGAATACAACATAATTATTCTCTTTATGTAAAATATATTTATTTGAATTTTGATATTAATCATAAATATGCAAAAATGTCTGTTTAAACAATAACAGCAAAAATTATATAATCGATATTTGGATAATGCAATAAGTAAAGTGCGTCTTAAAACAGTCAGAGTTATGTCTTGATATCTAATGATGTTTCTGTGAATTTTATATATACATTCTTTACTTCTGCAAACTGCGCACCGAGTTGATCTTAAAACGCAATTTTAGATCGAAGCTGAAATATCACAAATTTAAGTGATGACGGAATTAAATGAGAGAGATACTAATAAGTATCTTAAAAATACGGCAAACAATTTATTGCAAAAAATATTCTGTGTACTATTTCCTGCTGTTTATTAGATTTGTTGTTACAAATTTAGGTCTTACACGCTATTATGTTTTAATAACTGTCATACTGATTTGATTTCAGGGACACATTGGTGAAAATCCATTCGACAACGCTTCGTGGGGAAAGGAGCATTTTCAGCCATCGACGCTTCCTTGGCAGCTCAATCCGCGCAGTCACGGTCGTCCTAGTGTGAGTACCTTTATTCTTTTTTTACCTTCTCTACCTCATCTATTGCGCAAACTGCATCGATTACAGGCAATATTTTTTTACGTTAAACAGTAAAAATAGATTCAATCTACTATCTACGATTCTACTTTTTTGTAGCTGACAAAAAAAGGGATTTTTTTTATATGAAACAAGGAACTTATTCTAGACTTATTCTTTTCATGTCAATCGGTTTGCGTATTTCGCGTAATGCGATTTGGAGATTATCGGCCCCGTAATTCTCAGCCGGGCTCGCGCCGAGGGTAGATGCGTCAAATTTATAATTCCGGCGCGCGGGTAAGAGTACCTCGCGCCGAGGATGTGGAAGGAAGGGTGGAACGAGGAAAAGAAATCCGGCGGCTCATTGTGTCGGCAGGTAGCAAAAATGCTGGCGGGGTCGCCGCTTTCTCGAGCGTTTTCTCTCCAGGAGTCGTCGGCTACTATATCGTCACGCTACCCCTCCCCGGGTAGCCTCCACCCTTCGGTCCAACCGTAGCCGACCACCCTCTTATACGAGCTCGCGCTCACTCTCCCGCACCACCACTCGTCCTGTCACCCGGTATTTATAATACGCTTTGTTTTCCCTCAGCTATTTGTCTTGGGTTCTCGGCTCCTTCGCTAACATTATTATCCCGCGTTTTATTTTTATTTAATTCCGCCGCCGCGCGTCGAGTCCTCCCTCCTGCGTCCTCGTTATTTATCCTTCGTGGAACTTAACGAGCAAACGTGTTGTCGAATCTGGACGAAGTTCTCTACGTTTGCATATTTATCGCCCACCTAATTCTAATTCGCTCTATGCGAGAGACGCATTCTCCTGTTGTGTAAAAATCTAGGATCGCGTTTATGATTAGATTATCATTAGATATCATAGGTTTCACAAGAGTCTGAATGACGTGACGAATATTTCTTGCGTATACGAAGTTTTACGTGTCATTGTACATGACTCACACGCCGCGCGTGGTAATCTCTGTTCGAAATCTAAACTGCTTGACGATGTGCCAATATTCGCGTCATAATACGTGCAGGCGGCAGCAATAATTTTGATGTCCGCTTAATTTGCTTACTTCCTGCTGATTCCTATCAATCACGTGCGGAATCTTCAATCTTTACGACATACGTATACGTTGCACAAGGCCTTTTCATTCGATACTGATTTTTTTATCTGATCTTTCACACGCGCATTGCTGTTATTAAAAGTAAAGACTCGTTTATTTTTGTAGTCCGCATCGAATGAAAAAAAAAAGTTAATGCACGTGCACTTATATATCGAGTTTGCTTATCAAGCTTACATTTGAAAAAAAAAACACAAAACAACTGAAGAGTATTGCTATTCATTTTGATTGTAGATTTTTCGAATAATGTGTGCAGCGTGAGAAATAATTTTATTAATTTACTACAACAAAATATTTTCAACGCGAAAGTGTTTGGTGCAATGAGAATCTATACAAAATGCGAGATGAAATTTACATAAACAGCGAGGGAACGTTAATCTGACGCCATAGATAATGTACGTGGAAAAATCCGATGAGCCGCGAATAATCCGCGGTTAATCGCAGTATAATAGTGTGCCTCCACACGGATGACACACTTTGTTTACCTAAGGAGGATTAAACGCGCGCGCGGACTGTCACGCGCACGTGTGCAATCGACGCGCGCTCGTCTTCCCGATACCCATCGTATCGGGCGCGATCGTTTGCAAAGTAACAAAAGCAACCGAAACCACTGACGTCAGCGTTTCCGCGAGCGTATATATATATACGCGTACGATGATCTCATGCGCGCATGTACGTGTGTGTGTGTACGTGCGTGTGTGTGTGCTTACCTAACCGCGTGCGCGGCGCGCAGCTCCTTTTACGCCGCCATGCTCCGTACATGTGTGGTCGTATACGCACGAATTGCGCTATCGCGCGCATGTCTCTACATGACAGCGCAACGGTGCGCGGTACGCTCGCTTGCTCCGCTGCAACCACGTATGCATTTGTCAGCATCTCAAGAAGTAACGCGCAGCGATATATGTATCACTTCTACCGGGTTCTCCCTCCCCTCCCCTCCCCCCCTGCGCGCGTTTGCCTTATCTGCTTAAAATCAAATTCTTGCATGAGACTTTCGCGCTGCGAGGCACGAGGTGTCCCCCTTTTGACTCCCAAGATTGCACAGCCGTTCAACGGAGGTGTGCGAGGACTGAAATAAATGGAAGAAACGATTTCAAGAAGTTTAACTCGGATACCGCGGAGAGGTAACGAGATTTGATGCGATACGATAGAGAGAAAGAGCGCCGTGTCGCGCGCAAGGTAGGTAAACAGCGATCTCTGCTAAGCTACACAAGCCATAATATGTATTCTCTTAATAGTCATATGGTTTCTCGATAATAATTATAATTAAAGTTCAGTAATTTCGTCCTTATGATATTTTGTTCTTCTCGCGAGTTTGCATAATCGGCCCGCGAAATTTCGAGCTTATACTGCGCCCGGAGTGAGTATTCCGCGCCTCTCAATATAGCCGAAATTTCCGGCGGAAGAACGTTGATTCTCTCTCGCACCGTCCTCATAATCTCAGCCACGCCTGTGTAGTAATATGAATCGCGGCAAAAATCAGAACGGGGGGGGGGGGGTGGCTCTTAGAGCGCGTCCCCGCGGCGGCAGCCCCTGGGTTTTAAGATATGCAGAGCACAACGCACGCTTTCCTAGCGAGACTATTTTAATACGAATGAGGGTGGGAGGATCAGACGAGAGCGCGATGGTACTGGCGGGGCCGGCTCGGAAGATCTACTTCTTGATTACAGAACTTTTTACCTAATTACATAACATTGTTACCATTTACAAAGTCGCGTCGTGTCTGCGCCGGCTGACTACTAATTAGAATCCTCGATTAGCACCCACGGCGACATCGTATTCCATTTCGATAAGTCTCGCGACATTTTACCGGCTCTCATAATAAAAGGGTTGCGAGAGACTGATAGGGTGATTTTTAATGTCGCGCAAATGCTAATAATATATAATTGAATACGTCACGTTTAGAATATATAATGCTACTCCACGAGGTAAATAAAGATGCAAGATAGTGAACATTATTTCGGATAATTTCTAAAGCTTGAAGTGAAGATCTTGAAGGAAATATTACAAGAATTATATCAATCGCACATCAATCGTGCAATTATATTTAATTATAATCCCTTGCACAGTTCTCCATCAGATATCACGATCAGATATTCTTGTAACGAATCTTTTCATTTGTATCCTGCCATCGAGACGATTTATTTTTACAAGAAAATGAGGTCGCAAACTATGTATATGTGACACATGACTGACGAACTACCTCTTGGGCGATAAAAATTTGAAACCCATTTTTCAGACGTTCGCAAATAATTAGATATACCGAATCGCGCCAGACTAGCATGTCGGAATTTGCGGTATCAAAGGTTCAGAAAGAGTCGAATTTATCCCCGAGACTTAAGGTTCTTATCGGAAAGATGTAAGGGTCGTAGAGATAGTCATGCGCGAGGGACGAGCTCTCGACGATGCAGACATTAAGACGTCTGGTCCTCGACCTCCGGTTTTCCGCCCCGCGCCCCCAACCCCTTGGCGAGCGCGCGCGGAGCCCCCTTTAGACGACGGGAGGTTTACCCCGTCTTCATTGTCCTCTAATTCTCATCTGATCCTCACATTACGTAATTTTCTCTTTATTATTTTATAATTCCCGGGTCTCGAGCCCCGGGCCCGCGCCCGGCTCATCCGACTTCAGGTCCGCACGAACTCATCCCCCGCAACGCATACTAATGCACCCTGCATTTATTAATTATTCCGTGCTAGTTACCCCGGCTTCTCGTCTCGCCGTCGCAATGATAGATTAAACCACCTAGATTCGGAAGCTCGCGATGCGAATCCCGCTCGTCACCGTGATGATACGTGCTCGGAAATTTTTTCCTTCCGCGAATCGATAGAGAGACTGGAGTAGCCGCTTGGTGCTTTTCAGCCCTGCGCGACAATTCCACGTTACGAATAATAATGAAACAGTACAGATTACGTTTAACATTGTTAATTGCATTTGTTAAAATTATAAACATATTTACAATTGTGTTACGTTTTGAAATTTTTTTTATTTTTTATTTTTTTGTAAGATTAATCGTGAGATTATAAAGAACGTACAGTCCGAATTGAATTACGTTTTTAAAAGAATTTAAGAATTCGTTTCTCTGGTCTGTTTAAAGATTTGCTTGTAATCTGCATCTTAACTTTATCTGGAAATTACCTCTTAGAAGTTACTTTGAAAGAGAACATCTGCAAAGGATTCGTCGATCGCTAGTATACGCTGCAGGATGAAAATCATTCACGGCGTACGAATTCACGGTAAAACGTGCCGGTTGAATAGAAATCAAGCGGCGATCGAGCGACTTTTGACGAGCTCCTAAAACCCAGTTCGCCGCCTCGTACGTGATATTTGAAGATACAAGCGGCTACCCTACGGGGGAGAGAACATCCCCCAAGATCTTTAACTTCGCGATCCTGAAGGGCCCCGGTATGCCACTTGGTATGCACGGAGAACAGCCATTCATCTCCCGATCTCCAGCGTAGCGTCTCGACCTCCGGATATAAATTAGCTTTTGTTTAGCATTCAATGCGAGGCGCCTTTTCCGACGCGTCGGCCCGATCTACCGCCGCACAGCCCCCCCCCTCCCCCCATGATTAGGCGTCCACCTGACCAGCAATCCGCTGCAATTAATGTAGCTACCTGCCTCTCGGTTGAGCCAATTAAACGCTTGCGATTGCCGTGAAAAGAAATTGCTCGGATGTTAAAAGGGAATTTAATTCTCGAGGGTGCGATCGGGATCGACGCTCGAAAAATTCGCTCCAATGTATTTCGGCGGGATAGATAGGAGGATTAGAGAAACGGCCGCGACGCTAAACTAGATTAAATGAGTTTCTATATTTCCGGCTGAGGCACGTATATCATTACGTGAAACTTTACGGAAGAGAAATGAAAGAGTT